CCCTTTTTTTGCGTTGAAATAAAAGGAAAATAAAACCCAGTTTACCCAAAAACTAAGAAAGCCCACTTTTGGGTGTGAATAATAGAGGTCAGATTTGCCATACTCTAAAAAAATTGAAATGGTCTAAAAATAATTTTGTCGTCATAGATAGAAAATAAGGAACAAGATGCTACTAAAAAATCACTATGGGCTGAAGCCAAAAAATTTGCCATAATCTTTATAAGCAAAATTTGCCATGGTGAAAAAGAGATCTTTATGTGCAAATGGCAAAAAAGAAAAAAAATCATGGCAATGTTGCATCTCTACCATGATGGCAAGAAATGTGGATTAAAAAATTGTATGCTATTTTTACTATATAATTAAAGAGGCAAAAAATGTGGATGAAAAATTGCCATCATGTGGCGCAGAAAAAATGCACAATCTTTTGTTTAGTAGTAATTGCCATGTTTTGTAAAGTAAATGTACCATAGTAAATAGAAGCAAAAATTGCCATGAATGGTGAAAGAGGCAAAATTTGCCGTGGATGTAAAGTATTTTTGCCATTGCAAAACTAAAAGTCAAACTTGCCATGCTCCAGAGAACTAAATGTGTCATGAGTGAAAAAAAAGGTAAATTTGTCATGTATGTCACATAAAAATTGTCGTGGAACAAAAGGCTAATTTTTCCATGTTAATAAAGGTAAATTAAAATAGAAAGTAAAACTAGCCATGACAATAAAAGTTAAATATTGCCATGGGGATTTAGGTAGAATTGTCATGTTAATAAGGGTCAATTTACCATCGACAAATAAAAAAAAGTAAAACTTGCCATGGCAATAAAAGTTAAATATTGCCATGAGGATTTAGGTAAATTTACTATATTAATGAAGGTATATTAGCCATGGCAAATAAATAGCAAAACTTGCCATGGCAATAAAAGTTCAATATTACCATGAGGATTTAGGTCAATTTACTATGTTAATAAAAAAATAAACAGTAAAACTTGCCATGACAATAAAAACTAAATATTGCCATGGGGACTTTGGTAAATTTGCCATGTTAATAAAAGGTAAATTTGCCATGGCAAATAAATAGTAAAATTTGCCATGGCAATAAAGTATTAAAAATTTCCATGGGGGATGTAGGTAAATTCGCCATGTTAATGATGGTGAAATAATTAGTAAAACTTGCCATGGCAATATTTTCCTTTTTGTGTTGTTTTGGACAATTTAAGGAATTACCGCGACAATTTAAAACAATCAAAAGTTGCCATGGCAAGAAAGAAATGAATTTACCATGATCCGAGAACTAAAATTGCCATGATTCGATAACTAAATTTGCCATCTTCAAGAAAGCAAATTTGCTATCATGCGTAAACTAAATTTGCCATCATCAATTTAACTAATTTTTTAAGCTTACATGGCAAGAAGATAAGATTAGTTGCCATGGTAGAGTAAAATTGCGCCATGATCCAAATATCGAAAGTTGCCATGGCAAGAAAGCAATGAATTTTACATGATCCGAGAACTAAATTTGCCATGATTCGATAACTATATTTGCCATCTTCCAGGAAAATTTAAGAAAAAATATACAGTGAGACAGCAAATTTAAGAAAAAATGTATAGTACAGTACATGTTTAGTCCTGAAAACGTTCTCTCTAAACGAAAAGCAAGCTTTGATTACTCCATATCCCTTTTCAGTTTAACTATCTATGAAGTTGTTCAACGAAGATGACCACAAACTCTAAAAGTACCTTTCCCCACTACAGAAATTCAGCGCACATAGCCGATCAAATCTAGCTGCGAATCATTTATTTTCTTCTCAAAAACTCATAGCCTATCACCACTACAACAAAATCTATGGACATACAAAATGACATTCCGTCCTGGAAGAGTGGTAACGAAAAAACACAGAAAAAGTTGTTCTACGGAATCAATAACTCCTAGAAGCACTTGTTCTATTGGTTTCAGTTGACACATTCAAAACAAAATGGCCTAGTTCACCTCTGCCCAGCCGATTCACTTGTGATGTATGCATCGCTAGAACAGAAAAAATCGTAGAAATGGAACAATTCTGGGGCTGGGCATTACCAAGCAAAGCTCTAGCTAGGACACCGGCGCTGATCTCCAAGCACCCCGGCGGGAGCGGGGCAGCTTGCGTTCGTGACCATGTCGGGGAGCACAAATGCCTGGGGTGGTCCGATGTTGGGACCGCTGGAGCTCCTCGGCGCCGCCGCCTGCCTCATCTCCGTCTCGCAACAATCTCCGGCAAGGACAGAGCAGCCCGCCCCATCTCCGCCGTGCGTCGTCCCATGGCTGGTCCGGTGGCGCTCCTCCGCGCAGACGCTGGCCTCGTCTTCGCCGCAACTCCGGCTAGGACAGAGTCCCGAGCAGGCGAACCGGCAAGCGAGGAAGGCCGCAGCGTCCCCAGCCGAACTTGGAGGGATGGCGCTGGCTGCG